GGGCATTACGATGCGTCGGATAGTGGGTGGTGAGTTGTCTCTCAATTTTCTTTGTGTCACAGGGAATACTGACTCCCTAGGCCTTCTGGATGGGCTTTCTTCGTCGGTTTGCTGCAGGCAGCTTACACCTTGACGGGGTACGGCATGGTCGCTGCCATGTGTGAAGAAGTGCAGAATCCTCATCGCGAGGTCCCCAAGGCGATCGTCCTGTCGGTCATCGCCGCCGGTATCACCGGTCTCATCTACCTGATCCCCATTCTCTTCGTTCTGCCCACCGTGAAGGACCTCCTCAGCGTGGCCAGTGGCCAACCTATCGGCCTCATCTTCAAGACAGCGACTGGCTCGGCAAGTGGTGGGTTCGGCTTGCTGTTCCTCATCCTCGGTATTGCCATGTTCGCCGGCATTGGCTCCCTGACGGCGGCCAGTCGGTGCACCTACGCATTCGCCCGTGACGGGGCCATCCCCGGATTCCGCATTTGGCGCAAAGTCAACAAGCGCCTCGATGTGCCCGTCTATGCGATCTTGCTCTCCGCAGCGGTCGACTGCCTCTTGGGCTTGATCTACTTCGGCTCGACCGCGGCCTTCAACTCGTTCACCGGTGTCGCTACGATCTGCCTGTCGACTTCGTACGGTCTTCCAATCTTCATTTCCATGGTCCGTGGGCGCCAGGACCTCAAGGAATCTACCTTCTCTCTCGGAGCATTCGGGTATGCGATCAATGCTGTCACAGTGTGCTGGATCGTCCTGGCCGTGGTCCTCTTCTGCATGCCTGTCTCCCTGCCGGTGACTGCCAGCTCGATGAACTACGCCAGCGTCGTGTTCGCGGGGTTCGCGGCAATCAGTATTATTTGGTACATTGTCTATGCGCGCAAGCATTTCACCGGACCACCTGCGTCGGCCGAAGAAGTAAGGGCGCAGCCTGTGATGACAGGGAAGGCGGTTGTAGATGCCGAGAATGCATATTCGGATGAATCGATGTCCACGAAGAAGGTGGAGCAATGATCTTGTACTAGTTTCTTTTTGTTATGGGCTCTTTCTTTGCCTGGTGCAGATGAAGGCGATGCACCCACATGTTTCTATATGTATCACCACAATAAGGATGCTAGTCACTAAAAGTGGATGGACGAGGTGCTCGCCATAAGCATTTCTATTCGACTAGAAACCTATTAAACTATTTACTAGAAACGCGAACATTCAAGTGTTCTGTTGACGATGACGCGGAGCTGTTGGGTGTCATTTGTCAATCACAGGTCCCAGCTGTCAGGGACTCCGAGAGCCGCGGTACAACCTGTTCGGGCAAACATCTAGCAATCAATCACTCCCCACGACACGATAGCCAACGCATCCACCCCCTGTCTTATCACAGAAAAAGGAGAATACAACATCTGATACAAGAACTCCAATCTCCAATTCCGACCATAATACCCCCTTCGTCGCCTACTCCATTCACCATCCAATTGCTGTTTGTCGGCGCTGTAATCCGGGGAAGCTTGGGGATCTCGTGCGGTCCGCTCCGATTGTCCCTCAGTAATCAATAACATTCGCCTCCCCTTTTCTACACTCGACTACCGACCGGTCCCAGCGCCGTCCGAAGCGGAGGACCGTCTTCAAAGCTGGAGCAACCACCGTTGATACTCGCGCGATACCTCCAGGAGAAGCCACCGCCGGAATTCGTCGATCGCAAGTTCCCTGTCAGCTCTCATGAAGGACAGGCTCGGTTCGAGGCTTCGGATCTCACCATGTCGGACTCTGTGGGTATGTAACCGATCACAAGGGTGCCTTGCGTTGATCGGGTTGCTGATTTGTTGTTTGCTTGCTAGATCGAGTCTTCGTCCATGCCCTCAATACCGTCAAACGCATCCCGCGGACGGGCACCGCGAGACCGCCTGCTGCGGAGAGATTGAAGCTTTATGGACTGTACAAGCAAAGCATGGGTAGGCGATTCTTCGATACGGGGATTAGGCTTTGCGTGTGCTGGATAGATATGCTGATTGATGATGGATACCACAGAGGGCGATGTGGAGGGCGTCATGGACCGACCCGTCGGGAACACCGCAGACGTCTACGCGGAATGTGAGAAATGGTATGCTGGTTCTTTTGCTTTCTTGTTTTCTTGTCATATCAAACCGATGCTGATCAGGCGCAGGGACGCATGGTACGCCCAGCGCGGGCTCTCCCGCACGGAGGCCAAACGGCGCTACATCTCCACCCTCATCGACACAATGCACCAGTACGCTTCGCAGACCCCCGAGGCGCGCGAGCTCGTCGCGGAGCTCGAGTTCGTCTGGGACCAGATCAAGTCGAATGCCTCGTCGTCGTCGTCGTCGTCGAGCCCCATGCAGAATGTGGGCGTGCCGCCGTTACCCCAGCCGAACTATGCGAGTATCGGGGGACGGTTGGCCCGTCCGATCTACGAGGATATCATTGCTACCGCGCGGGATAACCACAGTCGGGAGCGGAATCGTGGAGATCCCAGGTTACGTGTACTCAGTCCGGTGAGTCAGCCTGATGGGCTGTATGAGCGACGCGGGAACAGGGACGTGGCGGATGAGGAGGTACAAGTACCAGAAGATGAGGATGAAGAGGACGAGGACGAGGAAGAGTACGAGGAGGCTCAGGATACCATTTATGAGGATGATGACGACAACGACAACAGCAACAGCAACAACCAAAGCCAGCAGGACAGCCACAGATTCGATGATGATCCCGACGAGGCGCAGTCCCGAGGTCGAACGCGAGGGTTACAACCAGCAACAGCAGCAGGAGACAAGAAACACCGCGTTGTAAGCTCCGGCGAGCGAGACCGCCGATGGCGACGGAGGGTCGAGCAGGCCTTGACCAAGATGACCGCCGAGATCGCCGCGGTCCGCGAGCAGATGGAGGCGCGGGCGCTGGCGAGCCGTCGTCGGTCTGCGCTGTGGACCTGGCTGAAGTGGATTGTCTGGGTGACCCTGCGGCAGATCATCTTCGATTTGGCAATCTTGGGCATGGTCCTCATCTGGATGCGGATCAAGGGCGACCGACGACTTGAGGAGAAGCTCAAAGTCGGGTGGTCGGAGGTGAAGACTCGACTGGCCAAACTCAAGTCCCTGCGACGGTTTCCCGGGCTAGATATTGTCTGATTGACTGGGACGGTCGCGTACCTTTCTTTTTCTCTAGTACATATTGTGTTGAATTTCTTATGTTTCCATCACATGGGCTGTCATCCTGTCAGGCGTGCTGATTTGATACTCCTTCGTTTTGGTCCTTTCCTTTTCTTGTATCATTGACGGTTGGATCTTCTATACATACAGGGACTTCCAAGAGCAGGTGTCGATGGCTTGAAGTACGCATGCATCTGAGGGGTATACTGTATTCTAATGCATACTAGACGCATTCATTATGTAGCATCAACTTGGAGTACTTCAGACAAGCTCTAGTTCTAGAAATCGATTATTGCTCCGTAGAAACGACGTGATAAACAACTGATCATTCCTGATGCTAATATATACACAGACAAGCCCTTCGATCAGAAACACCGAGATTCCACGACAGAAAGCGAACGAGGAGTGGGAATTAGGAAAAGACATAGATACCCTAATATTGAGGACCGGGGAACTGGGCATACAGCTGCTTGGGCCGCAGATGTACGGGAGTCTGGCCCTCGGGGGCTCCAGGGATGGTCTTCTTGAGGCCCTATTCATTGTCAGCACAGCCCAATACAGTCTGTCGAAGCGGAAGAGGTGGATTCAGCCGAGGACGCGGACGTACCAGCTTCTCAAAAACACAGCTGTTGAGCTCCATCTCGGGCTTCCGGCACTCCCATAGATTCTGGTTGTTGTTCTCAAGGCATTCCCAGTGAGCGTTGAACTGCTTCAAGCAGTGGGTGTTGATGTCCTTGATCCTGTACCACGATATGCCTCGATTAGCCTCGGACCGACTCCTGCACAACCAGCATAAAATCTGAACACAAGCATGACTGAAGAGAAAACGTACACACTCGCCGCACAGCGGGTGACCTTCCGACCCTCCTTCAGACACTCCAGCTCTCCCCGGCCATTGGCCTCGGCCTTGCACTTCATGAAATCGTCATTGAAGGCCTTGCAGCGGTCGCCGATAAAGTAGGATGCGCTCAGCAGCGGCGCGGACGTCGCTCCAATCTCCTCCACCTTGGGGATGTCGCTGGGCATCGGGGTGGTGTCCACGAGGACATGTTGGTTGAACCTGGGTGCTCGTTAGTTTCTCGCCGGGGCTTGCGGGGAACGGCGTGGAGGGTTCAATTGGAGGCAGAAGCGAGCGAGGAACATACTGGGGCTCTCTCCGGGACATCTTGACGGGCTGCCTGGCTGGGGGATATGCTCAATTACAGAGAGATGGGCGGGATTTCGTGAATGGAGTGACCGGTTCAGAACGGACGGAGCTGCGAGTTTGGAAGGGTCGGTTTTTGCGTGTCTCTGATTGGCTGTTGTGTAGATTATGTAAGGTGATGCCGTTGTCTGCGGACTTCAAATGCTGGAGTATGGACTAGGTGCCTAGGTAACCAAGTATCAATGTGTTCTCGATGAAGCCAATGTCATCATACACCTACTACTGTCAATATCTAATAGCATGTAGCTTAATCAATAGTCTCACCAGTCAATTGCTCGCATTGAACAAAGGGTTGACTACGTATTCGCATTGTGCCTGGTCAGGTATAAATCACGTGACACAACCGCGAAAAACAAAGCAGCTCCCAGTGAAGTTGACAAGCTCCTGGTGTTGCTGTCTTATACACACCGACTTCTTTTGCCCGGCCACTTCTCTTTCCGTACAATGAGGTGCTAAAGGGATATCCTTGATTGAATTCTATATTGAACGCAAAGCAGGCCCGGCGGTCCCTCGCTTGTCAGAGCCTTCTCAACCCACCTCAGTGTAACCGTTGCTGGAGCTTCCAATCGCATAAATTCCGCCCGCCTTCGCGCTCAATCGCGTTATTTAGTGTCTGCACCAGAGCGCAGCGCTTTCATTTAATCCGTTTCGACATGTCTCTCTTCGGAGGGCAATCCCAGTCAGGTGGTGGACTGTTTGGGTCCGCTACCGCAAATAAACCCAGTCCCTTTGGCGGATTCGGTTCGAGTACGACAGGAACACAGCAGAGCACCGGTGGTGGCTTATTTGGATCGCCGCAAACCCAGCAGAGCTCTACGGGAGGTGGCCTGTTTGGATCCAATGCGGCATCGCAGCCGCAACAACAGCAGCAGCAACAGACTGGTGGCCTTTTTGGGTCCTCAACAACCCAGACTCAGCCCCAGACTGGGGGAGGCTTGTTCGGATCTACAACGCAGCAGAAACCCCAGACAGGTGGTCTCTTTGGTGGCGCTTTAGGCCAGACACAACAGCAGCAGCAGACGACGACCGGCGGTGGAGGATTGTTTGGGTCAACGCTTGGGCAGCAGAAGCCACAGGGGGGCAGCCTGTTTGGAGGATTGGGGCAGCAGCAACAGCAACAGCAGCAGCCTCAGCAACAAGGAGGCGGGCTATTCGGAGGCCTGGGAGCTACGACACAACAACAGCAACAACCTCAGCAGCAGAGTTTGTTCGGTGGATCCGTCCTTGGAGGTCAACAGCAGCCTCAATTGGGGCAAACCACAACGCAGCAGCCGGGCTCTAGCCTGTGGTCACCAGGCCGTGCTGTTACAGGAGGTTCGTTTCGATGGTCAGATTGTGCAGACTTAAGCGCCAGGCTAACTTTACCACAGTACATCGAACTGTACCCATGCAAATAGAAATCGTCAAGAACAAATGGGACACCGGTAGTCGCGCGTCGCCGTTCAGAACTTATCTGTACAATCACGTCGGGGATCAGGCTCCCTTCTACCAGCCTACCGCGGAGGACGACGAGACGAAATGGGAAGAGGCTCTACGCGAAAGACCCGGCTCCGGATATGTGCCCGTCTTGGTGAGAGGGTTTTGGGAGCTCGGCAAGCGAGCGCAGCGACAAAAGGATTTCCTTACAATGGCCCAGACCCGCCTCCATGAGATTAACAACTGTCTCACCGACCTGCTGTCTCGCCACGACCTGAAGATATCCGTCAAGATCGCCGACTGCCGCCGGAAACATCTGGTTCTAAGCAAGCGCTGTCTCACTTTGGCGGCGAAGACTCAAGTACTCAGGAACCGAGGCTACGCAATGGATGAGGCAGAGGAAGAGCTTAAGAAGAAGCTCGCACAGCTAGAGCGATCTGTCTTTAATCCCTCGCTCAACGGGCGAGCCGAGGAAATCTGGGCCCGCATGTTGGCAATCCGAGAACACTCGAAACGTTTGCAGGCAGAGATGGAGAAGGCGGGCGCTTCAACGGCTGCTCAGGGTGAGGAGGAATTGGACGAGAATACCATGAAAACTGCAAAGAAGGTTTGTCTACCCCTTCAGATCGCACTGTATTCAAGCGTCCCTGTAGCCATTTTGCTAATTCTTCCCAGATCTTGGATGATTATCACGCACAAATCACACATCTGCAAAAGGAATTGGAATCGGTCAAAAAGGACTTTGAAGAGGCTCAGAAGCTTCAGGGAACGGCGGATCATTGAGATAGATAGGTTAACGTGATCAAGCGAGCAATGTAATAATTTGGCACATGGCGTTTCATCCTCGATTCTGTACTGGTTTATGTCATGGAGCAACCGATTTATATGGAGCTGATATCCTGCATCGATCTCAGTTGGCCCTAATCTACATGATCCTATCCAATGCGGTGGAACAGAAGCTGTTGCTTTTTCCATTTCGATTTCTTTATACCCGGTAAACCCAAAAATACCCATGTACAATAGTAATACATTATGCGTGGAATTCAAGCAAGACTAAGCTCCACCATAGCTATCGTCGTAACGAGTTGAACGAGCTATCCAACGACATGGAGAAACTGATATTTAGAGGAACTTCTTGACGAAATCGACGGCGAAGGGAGCTGATACAATGACCGGTTAACTCCTGCGGCACCTTCGGATAGGGGACATATTCATGAGCACTCACAAAGGTAGAGAAGGATACCGCCGGTGATAGCAGCGCGGACGGTCTGGCTGGCCTGAGCCTCAGCAGCCTGTAGGGTTGCAGTTAGCATATATGCATACGACAACGTATATTATGAGGTCGTCTCGAGCTAGGCGCATGGCAGCGCACAGAGGAGGTTCGAAGGGGATAAGAGGGAAATTTACTCTAAGCTCCTCCTTGGAAAGCTGTTCTTGACCTGGAGACAGAATGTTAGCTAACGGCTCAAAGCTGGGCAGGACTCGAGTTGACAGATGATATCGAGGGGTAAAATGTAGTGTTGACTTACCAGGAGCAAACATTGTGATCTGAGTCTTTTCTGTATGAAAGGGACTATACTGAGAGATAGAGTGGTATACTTGTATCCGGAGTCAGAAGAATCGATATGCCAACTGCAGAGTCGAAATGCGGACGCACGGACCACGTAGCGGAGGCGGAATTTCTGCTGTTGCTGTTTCTGCTGCGACGTCTCCAAGAGGCCAGCAATACCAGCCTCCGATCTTTCACTTTCTCTTCTCTCATCTAAATATTCCGTTACATCTACTCATTGAACGTGTACTTTCAATATACGTTCTCGAGGCTTGTTTCCGTTACTTCGCCCTTACCACCGAAGGAATCGTGGTCGAAAGCGGAGCCGCATCGGGCGCTCCGATACCTCCTCTGGTATCATCACATCAACACATTTAGCCTACAATCATCAACTATAACACACAACATGTCCGACAGCCCAGAAATGCGGCCCGCGTCACCGACCGATGTCGTCTCCGACCACGAGTCCCAGACAGACCTGCCCGAGGAACCAGTGAAGGCCCCGACTCCTGGCGGCGACGAGGGCCACAACGAGGAAGCACCTGAAGAGGGAGCAGCATCAGCAACGCCAGCGGCAGAGTCGGTAGCCGAAACCCATGAAGACGACCCGGCCGACAAAGAAGACGCGGGGGTTGATTCTGACGAGGAGTCTATTCTTTCTGAAGTGGATGAGGCGCAGTTCGAAGACTTTGATCCTGAAAATGTCGACATTGAAGATCGTCCACAGCTTGCGATCGACGAGGATAACCTCAAATTGATCGGTCGGCACAAGCGCAGGCGGACGGGGGAAGATGATCAGCAGGTGAAGCGGAAGAGGGAAGGGCGCAGAGAGAAGAAGAACCGTCGGAGGGATATGGAAGAAGGTGCGGACGAGGGCGAAGATAAGTCCCGTCGCAGAGATCGAAAGAAGAGAGACGCCACTCCTGAAGATGAGGAGTTGCTGGACCCTGCTACACGTATGTCGACTTTGGTATCTTGAGGGTGAAAGGGTAAAACAAACACTGACACTATGAACTAATAGGTCGTCGTCGAGCTCTCGATCGTGCTATGGATGAAGCTTTGAAGAAACCCACAAAGAGACGCTTCCGCAAGGCAGATGGCATTGTATGTTTATACAACTCGGATTACGAGCTCGGGATATGGTAGCTAACTGAATATGCAGGATCTGGAGCAAATGGCCGATGCTGAAATCGAGGGCATGCGCAAGCGAATGACACATGCTGCCCAGATGGACGCCAACAATCGACGCGAAGGCCGTCCCGCCATGCACAAGCTGAAGATGTTGCCGGAGGTGGTCTCGCTCCTTAACCGTAACCAATACGTCAACAGTCTTGTCGATCCTGAAATCAATCTTCTTGAAGCCGTCAAATTCTTCCTTGAACCTCTCGACGACGGATCGCTGCCGGCCTACAACATCCAACGCGACTTGATGACTGCATTGGGCAAACTCCCCATCAATAAGGAGACATTGATCGCTAGTGGAATTGGCAAAGTGATTGTGTTTTATACCAAGAGCAAGCGTCCCGAGCCTGGCATCAAACGTATGGCTGAGCGGCTGCTTGCGGAATGGACCCGTCCCATCTTACAGCGCAGCGACGACTACTCGAAGAGGGTCTACCAGGAGGCTGAATATGATCCCAGGTATGATATCTTCTGTCCTTGTTCGTAATAATTGCGGTCCGCATGCTCACAAGTACTACAGGAAACTCACCACACGCACATCTGCTCAGGCGAGCGTGGCAGAAGCTCGTTCTCGAGAACTCCTTCCTCCCCGGCTGGCGAACCGTGCTCGTGCCGAGATTACCCATACCAGTTACACTATTGTTCCCCGCCCGACTGTGGTGCAGGAGAGCAAGTTTGCACGTCCATTAGGAGCCAGCGGAGAGGATCGATTCCGGAGAATGCGGGCCCGACAGATCGCTGCGTCGAAGGGGTCGCGACGCTAAATTCGGAAGCAGATCCGTTGGCGTCTCACCTTACTTTTTTCTTTGTATCTGCTCTGGTCATTTTTATCGTAATCCCCAGTACGAGCGTGAGACGGTCGGAACGACGGAATTATCTTTCTCTGACACATTTTCTATTTTTCTGGTCACTGGATTTATTTTCGCGAACGGCGCCTTCGGAATGGATTAGTTATTGATTGCTTATTCTACTCTATGTGTACTAGAGAAGTCCTTGGGTGGTGTCGGGTCCATAGGAAGCAGAATCATGCCATCAGGAGTTGGAGCAAAAGCAGAGCTTTTCATTGGTCCCGTACCCGATTAGCAGATTCTATTCTGGTGTGTCTCGTGCGAGAAGAAACTACTGTGAGTGTTAATAATCAGCGACCGCCTGGAAGCTTGAAGGCATTCCCGAGCAATCGCCGATCCGGCAGAGAAGCAGATCCCGCCCGCCCGCCGACATTTATCGTACGTCACCCGGCCTATGCTGCTCGGTCTTTGTATTCGGTCCTGACCTCATTTTGCCCTCATCCGAAATTTTCCCTGTCTTGAGTGGTGGCTCTTCTATATTATCTTCTCTCAATCCATCCTCGCCTCAATTTTGCAATTGATACATATAATCATCATTTGGCTTCGATCTGCTCAGTCCATACATACCTACCGTCCACACTAGAACCCTAATACAGTCACCATGAAGATCCTCAGCAAGGAAGAAGAAGAAGCTCACTACAGGTAAGCACCCTCAACTATCTTCTAGGCGATCGCCTACTCGAACCATCAAACCAAATTGAACAATTACTGACTGAATCTATCAGAGAGGTCCTAAAGGGCGGCACCATCGGCGGCGTAGTCGGTCTCATCGGCGGATTCGCCGGTGTGATGGCCGCCTCAAGACGCTACGCAACCATCCGCAACCTCACCCTCCCCATGAAATCCTTCCTGGTAACCTCCTCGGGAACCTTCTTCGGCATCATCGCGGCCGACCACGCCTCGCGCTCCTTCGAAGCCTCCCGCAACGCCGAACGCCAATGGTACGAGTCCCGCGAGGAGCGCCTCCGCCAGGAGGAGCTGGCGGGGATGAGCTTCATCGACCGCATGACGGCCTTTGCGCGCCGCGAGAAGTACAAGATCGTCGGCGCCACGTGGGTGGCTAGCATGATTGGCTCGTTTGCCATGGTCAGCCGCAACCCGTACCTGACCGGTTCGCAGAAGATCGTGCAGGCGCGTGTGTATGCGCAGGGCCTGACCCTCGCTGTGCTGGTTGCGTCGGCGGCGTTTGAGATCTCGGATCAGAGGAAGGGAAGGGGGTTGCTGGAGGCTGCGAAGAAGGGGAAGAAGGCTGCGGGGGAGAAGGAGGCGGCGCCGACTCCGACCGCTGCTGCGGCGCATGATCCGCAGAGTGGCGATCTGTGGAAGGATATGGTTGCTGCTGAGGAGGAGCGGTTGAAGCAGAAGCATCAGTCGCTGTATGAGAAGCCTCATGAGCATCAAGACGACGTGAGTGCGCAGGCTGCGCCGGCGCCGACGGAAGAGAAGAAGGAGGAGAAGGAGGAGAAGAAGTGAATTGTCTCTTGTGGATTTCTGTTTGGTGGAGCTACTTGAAGCGTGGGGCCCTTGTCTTTCTTTGTCAGTAGACTTCCTGTCCTGCTTTGTTCTCTTCTTTGCATCTTGTGTCGGGATATGGCGTCTAGAATTTTCAAAACTTTCCATGTTTGATACATGGTCGTGTACAATGGTGATGTACAGCATATGCTCAGTCAATCTCATCTCTTTCAGTCTTTCCTTTTTCATTTCCATCGATGTTCGGGCTACGAATGATGTCCAATTCAACATGACAATGTACTATGCAATCGAGTGTTCGACATAAAGATCATTACATTTCATTATTTCGCATGTCCTGCATACCTAGTATATGTACATACCAAGTTGGTAGTACAATAGAAGCCCCAACTCCACGCTAGCATTCCTCCCTTCAATCAAACTCCGTAAGGCAAGTAGCGTCTACGGCTCCGGGTCAATCTTCTCATTTCGAGCACCAGGGTTGGTACCCAGGTACGCCGAAGCCTCGAGATTGTTGAGTCGGTCCTCCTCCTTGTCCAGCGAATAGTGGGTCAGGTAGAAGAGGTTACCAGCAACAAACGCCAGAACGGCCACGAATCCATAGTTCCAGATCAGGAGCGGGTCGGTGGACAACGCAGTAAGTCCTTGCTGAATAGCAGACGAGATGGCGTTCATGAAGAGGAAAATCGATTGGACTGTAACAACTTAGTGATGGAGCTGATCACTGATCTGAACGACGACGTACCTAAACTCTTCATGTTCCTGGGAGCCTTCGTGAATGCGTACTCATAACCCGTGATGGAGGTGAAGATCTCCGAGAAAGCGATCAGGACATACGGCAGAGTCTGAACCCACACGTTGATTGGTGCCGGTTTGTCACAGTCGCTGGGGTGGTCGCCACATGGGCTCATCTTGTAGATGTAGTATTGCGTGACGGCAGCCGCTATCATGGACATGGAGGCGAGGAAGTAGCCAACATAAATTTTCTTGAGCGGGGTGAAGTTGAATCCCATCCTGCGGATGCCGGGGTAGATGAACTGATCCATGATGGGAATGAAGATGATTAATGCAAGAGGGTCCAGGTTATTGATCAAGTCGTTAGGAACACCGTTCAGCTCCATCGTGGCTGCCTGCGAGGTCAGATTGTTGGTCATCTGCCCATAGGCCAACCCTACAATCTCGGTAAGTCCTGTTCACGACGTTTGTGATGTGGATACATACAGTAGACAGGATACCAGAGGAAGACAGCACACGCTTTGACGGCTCTGCGTACTTCATCGACCCATTGGTCATCAAACGTCATCCACTCTGGCTTATTTTGAACCCTGCTGGGCTTCACTCTCTCCCAGAACTCAGGAGACTGACAATTCCGCACGCTACGAAGGAACAGTCAGTACGAAGAAAAATCGACATGAAGTGAGGACCACTAACAATCTCACTGGATTCCACGACCAGCGGCCTTTGAGAGCAAAAGCCCAGAGCTTGAATGCTTTCGCGGAAACCGAGCCGGTAGCGGGTGTGACCTCGTACTTGTTGCGGCATGCAAAGATCACAAGAGGGCAAAACGCAAACATGATGGTTGGAAGAAGGAATGCAAGCCAGAATCCCACGTATTTCTCGGCATAAACCATGGCGATTGAGCCAACCAAGGCGCCGACGTTGATCATGAAGTAGAAGTACAGGAAAATCCGAGTGACCGTTTGAGCAGGGTCCACAATGACACGCTCGCCTGTCTTGGGCATCACCTTGATGAAGGACCTTGTTTCCTTGTGCTGTTCAGCAATCAGAGGGGCAATGTTTGACCTATTGCATGTGTGTTAGCGTATTCTCTCACATCTACATCAAGGAGACGGGTATCTGTACTTGAAACCTCCGACACCAACTCCAAAGATGACCAGACCGACGGCGAAGCATCCAAGAGCGCCATGTGGATGCGCGATAACGGATGGCAAGGCGGATATAATCAGAATTATGTGTCCAACCATCGCGAAGGCGATTGAAACCTGAATCGTCTTCAGCCGTCCCCAGAACTCGTCGGCAATGTAAGCACCCAGAATAGGCATCAAGTAGCACCAGAATGTGTTGACTATGGCAAGTGTCAGACATAGACTGATGGCAAATATGTAGAGACAAGAAACTCACAAGTTGTCAGGCCAGTAGACGCTCTTTGACCCATGCCTAGGGCACCAGACTGTCCACTGTGACCGGCTCCAGTGCTCGAACCATCGGGGAGAGGCTGCTGAATGAAGTTGACGACTTCGATAAGGTGAGCTTTCTCCATTAGGTGGAGTCTGAGAAGGGCTCAATACGTACAGACAGCAGTGGTTCCATAGTAGGAGAAACGCTCGCAGAGTTCGACAAAGGCGATCGTGTACGCAGTCCAATGAACCTTGCCAGCGACGCGACGAAGAGTGTGTTCTTCCTCCTCAGTTGGAATTTCACGGCCTTGATCATCAAGTCTGCGAGCTGTAGCAACCACCCTAGTCTCGTGTTCTTTGACTGGGACGACGTCCAGAGACTGCTTGGGGACGTGAGCCTGAGCCACGACCACCAAGTCCGCAGCGTCGACAGGATCGCTCATGACTGCAAGTGGCTGATACAAGGCTCAGAGACAGTAGAGAGGAGGACGGAAGTCGAGAGGGAACGGAAAGGAAAGGAAAAGGGTAAGGGTTCGCACGTGGAAGAGAAAAGACAGCAAACACGCGCAGGGGAGAGTGAAGCATAAATAAGAGACAGAGTGGGAAGAGCAGAGACAAGCGTGGAGTGAGGGGAGGAGAGGAAGAAGAAGGGTGGGAATAACAATACCGCACCAGTCCAGGTGTCTATCGCTGGTCCAGTACTCCGTCGTCTTTCACCGTCTGGACGTCGCACTTGAGCTAACCAGTCCGGCCGATTAAACTCAGCACTAATGGGCCTGTTCGTCGCCTCCTGACTGATCTAATGGTTCCATTTGATTCCCTGCGATAGGAGAGTCCTCGATGGGCGGGCATTTCCAGGCCGTCCTCGGCTGTCTAGGTAAACTCAGAGATATTGTGCAGGCTGGGATTGCAACTGGCTGCTTCGTATCACAAAGTTTGCGAGACTACGAATTGTTATCCGCCCCCTGCTGCTCATGTGGATGAGTTTCTAGCGCCAATCTAGATGAGTGCATTCTAAAAGTGATCCTTGAACCCCATGGCAGTGGTGGCACATGTTTCTGTAAGTTATTGGCCCTCGTGGGCTTCGCCGCTTCCAACACACGAAAGAGGCTGACGATTGGATACGCATCGCGACCCTGGACCACCCCACGAAACTCAATTGGATTTCGAGGACAGGTACAATGAATATTGAGTGATAGGAAGGGTTATCGTTCCTTGTTAGTCTCTCCAACCAATCACTGCATTGACGCAGACCGCGAAGAGGTGGAGTGACGGACATGGCAAACGCCATTTACCCTTGGCATCCGGCAAGAGTACCAAGCTTAGCCTTGGACTCGGACGTCCAGGTGATATACTTCCTCGTTCAGGCTGGTACGTCTTCGTCGCAGACAAAGGGGGAAACATGCAAAGGCACAGTGGCTAATTCTTTCCCCGCACAAGCCCTCAGTTTTCGCCGATCTGGCCTCGACACTCGACACACAGGGACATTACTCGTTCCCATCGCTCGTACACAGCATATTACCCTCCAAACCCCAGTTCGGTGATTTGCTCCGCGCCGCATGTCTTTCGATATAGGCTGGGAGCTGAGTGATTGCATGAAGATCCAAGCGGATGCGGAATAACGAAGCTCTCCTGACACTTAACCATCTACACGCCAAAAAAGGAATGCGATACTATGCCACCTCCAGGGGTCATAGGCCAGCAAACATGTCGTAACATTTTGTTTTGGTGAGGTTACATCGTACTCGAAACCTTCAAGATAATGGCCTGTTCAGGTCTCTCTGACTGGTCCGCTTATAAACGGGGCCATCTGTACCACCAAGAACAAGTGAACGGGGCTGAATGGTACATTCAAGGTTAATAACTGGGTTGCAAATGACAACCAATACAGAATTTGACACGGAATCCGAAGTTGGCAGCTGGTGAGTGCGATGGGCTTGATGCGAATCACGCGATATCGCACCACAGCTAGCACTGATAACGCCAAAGCGGCCAATAATAAGGTTTGCCGGCTTCAAGAGGCCCAGGCGGAGCTACGTACGTAGCAACGCGAAGCCTTTTCCAAGCCATCTGGCCGTCTCGGCAGTGGAGCTTGCAGCTTGTCCAGCTGCAGCAGAAATTCCTTGTCTTCCTGAAAGTCCTCGCAAGTCGCAACCTCGGACAAGCCCGAGCCACGAGACTATGCAATAAGCTTGTGGAATGTGGGTCTTATCTCATCTAGAATAAAACCGTCCTTGCCCACAATATTCCTATCTTTCCAAAGAGCGGTTGCGATAACAGGTACTCGAGATAGCCGATTGGGAAGATTCCAACGCTGGAGCCATGTGCAATCGGACGGACATTATGAGCGACTATTATCTATGGATATAACAGATGATATGACGAGGAAGATTAAACAACAGAGTAGAATGGTATAAAGAAACAGCTGTGTTGATGCGGGGATAACCTATCCATGATAAGCAAGAATATATTACAGAATCGGCCACAGACGGGCAATATCTTTCTCGTGAGATAACCTCCACGGTCATCGTTGAGTCAAAGATAGGTGCAAGCTTTTGAATATGGGCTTACGAGTGATGCTATATCTATTGATCTGCCACATTGTTGTATACCGGGAAGAATAGTGGCTAAGTAGATCCAGGCTTTTCTGGGTTTTAGCAACCTCTCGGGTATAGCTTTCTCAGACGCGGATTTTTGGAAGACTGGTTTATGTTATGGATGGCCAAGCGATCCAGGGGTATCCATACTCCCGAGCATCGACTGCTGCTCCTTATCTTCCCATGTATTTGGCTGTTGTAGCAATGATACTTTATGGCTTCACTGCGGACGGTGCAAACACTTGGGGAGCCCCGTTCAAGGGATGCACTCTCTTCCCAGTCGCATCACCTTACTGATACTGTCTAAGTCATCCTTTACTCTACAGGAACTGCAATCTCGAATATAGCACGTATTCGCGCGCATATACCAGTGGTACTACTACTGTAATCGCTAGTGGAGCCGTAGACTCACCGGAAGTAGAAATCTTATTAACGGAACATAGCTGTATTATCCTCAGAGCACGCGCTTCATTTGGCTGATTCGAGCAATAATATACATCGCAAAGTGGTTACTTAACTCGGCACTTCAAACTCCAGCAGGTTGTTTATAAAGTCACATGACTCTGATTTCCTGTTCGACGTCCTACAACCCCATCGCAAGCACAGCCCAACCAAGCTCCATATCGCTACTTACTTGATGGTTTCATGATGGAAAACGGAGCTTGGACTCCTTGCAGATTTATGGAGCCATTGTCTGTAATCCGAAGCGCTGCAGCTTCCGAATCACTTGCAGACAGAGCAGCCAAGAGTCTAAATTAGCAGCAAGACTCGTGCATAAGTGCCGTCTGTGTAACCAATAAGCCACGCTGCAAATATGGAGGCTGAGCAAGAGCCTTCAGCCCCCGTTTCTGTCAAAGAAAACAGATGGGAGCTAGAGAACTTAATGCACCGAATCCTTATCCTCTCAAAGAACTTAGTCGAGCAAATATGAGGAACAATGGTGGTAGCGACATCACATCTCGCCCTTAATGATGAGGAGATCCACCAGTTGATGCACGCTGCTCAACGCGGTGACATTATCCAGCTTAGATCGCTTCTTTATGGCGTATCCCCCGACATCAGAGACAGTACGGGCCGAACCGCCTTCTCCTGGGCGGCTTCATACGATTTAACCCAATCACCGACGACATACAGCAATCGCAGCCTTGTGTTGCAATCGCTCCTCGATCGAGGGGCTAACCCCGATCTTGCGGATTACCATGGTGAAACCCCGCTTCATTGGGCTGTCAAAGGGGGCGACTACCGCACGGTCGATTTGCTACTGCAGAAGCATGTCGAATCGGACTTGCCAGACTCGCGAGGCCGCACGCCATTGTCGAGGGCGGCGGAGCGAGGTTATGATCGTGTGGTGGAGGTCTTATTAACCAAAGGTAAAGCTGACGCGGACTATAAGGATGCACGAGGTCGGACGCCACTATCGTGGGCTGCGGAGAATTGGCATCTGGACACAGCAACCATTCTGGTGAATCATGGCGCCAGCGTGGACATTCACGATAGAGAGGGACAGTTACCCTTATGGTGGTTTATCAGCAACACAGTCAAGCGAACAGCGATGGAGCAGCAGTATCAGTCCGGGAAAGGGGACTATCTTCAAAAATGGCTCACTTTATTGGGGCCCAAGCACGGCGTCGAGCCTATGACGAAAGCTCGGAGGACGTTCCTCTCCTGGGCCTGCGAGAAAGGCGATCAAGAACTTGTTAAGCATCTGTTGCAGACCGTCTGGGCTGACCCTAACTCCATCGACCGGTATAGGAAGACACCCTTGATCTACGCGCTAGAATGGAACCACTACGAGATTGCAGACATGCTGATCTCTGGGGTTAAGGCGGGGACAATCTTAAAAATGGACATTGTCTCCCTGCGCATTATGATACAAGAAGGTCGTTCTCGTCTGCTCAAGCCCTTTCTCGAGAGATACAAGCCCAGCCTAGAACATGAGGACGAATACAACACTATTCCTCTTATGAGGATAGCGCTGCAGCAGGCCGATCGCGCAACGGTAGCAGTCCTCCTAGAGCACCAAGCCAGTATTCAAGGCCTTGAGAACGTGGACTGGTTCGGTCCTTGCAGCACCGTCAAGTCGTCGGCAGACTTGGTTTTCCTGAATGATATGCGCACGGGGCACGGCCACAATGCAATCCCTTTGATGAAGATGGCCATAGAGGAGGGCGACCGAGCGGCAGTGGCGGCATTATTGGATCAACGTAAAAGAATCCTCAGGATTAAAGAACAAGAAAACGATGATGACAGCGATCTCGGACAGCGCAGCAGGGAGGTCACTGCAGTGGCTGTCGACATTGCGGTTGTCCGTAATGGAATCAAGACAGCGCAGTGGCTTATTCAAGGCGCATTGGAGACGCATATCAGAAATATGCCGAAGACGGCAGACGAAACCCATCTGATGTACGTGTGACCCCTTGAACCTCTTTCGTTCGCTGTTCTGACCAGACAGACTCTTCCGGGAGAATCAACTGTGGAAAACTTACCTGCAGATAGGGCATTCGCCAAACGAGCTGAGGTTCTCTTTGGGGAACAAAAGCCCCTGCAGGACATTTACCTTGTCCATTCAAATGAATCTAACAATGTCTCATACATTTCCTGGCGGTCACAACGAGGGGAACTTCCCCAGCTATGAGAATGGTACCTTCCGAACAATTGAATGGGCTGTCCTCGAAGTCCCTCCGAAAGCCATACATTACTTCAGTAATCTGCCGTTCGGCTGGGTTCCCAAGAATGACTTGGAGTTCATTCAGCTATTCATGCAGACATGGAGAGAAGACTGGATGAATTTCTGTCGAGACGCCAGAAGTGTTCTGAGTCGCCTTGTATGTATATTCGTGTTCTCCATTCGATGAGCCGTACACTCTTAAGAAACGACGCTGACAAGCTAGCGCTCCCATCAACTGACCGCTCGAGGCAAAGATGACCTCTTGATCGACGCAGTTGCCGAGAATATGCAACAGTGGACCCGACTTCAAGGGACGCTGGAGGAACAGCTCACCCAGGCGCGTCACTTTGTCTCACAATATCAACGCTACAGCGAAACTCGTCGGTTCAGTGAGCAAATGCATCAGACCATCGACGCCGCGGAGCGAGACATCCAAAATCAAGTGGATAAACTAGAACAGACCATGCGAGATCTATTACAGATAGCAAGTTATATCAGCCCTTTCACTTCCAGCATCAGAACTAATGCTTTGGTCCGGGTAGGAGTTCGCCTGGGTCTCTATCAACGAAGCGCATCGGTCGACCAGCTTGGCAACGAGTCTGAAGCGGATCAGCTGGATTACTGTACGTGTGGCCAATCAGCCGGCCCTCCTGTGTTCTATTCATTGACTGGTGACAGTTCGTCTTTCTCCCTCTTACGTTCGCATCCGTAAGTTATCAGACATTGCCCTGCTGTAGCTGTCTAATCCTCGCAGACTCTGTTCGGAATGAACGTGGATTTACTGAAAGATGATCCATCCTGGAGATGGTACCCGCTCGTTGGCGGTATATTGTTACTCTTGACAGTCATTGCATGGCTGTTGTCCAAGTTCACCAACGTAGGAATCTGTTGTCCGACATTGAGCGTACAGACTGCTGATGAGCTCCAGATTGAAACGTGGGCTGAACGCAAAGCGGAACTGATAATGAAAAGGTCCAGGCGACGGCGAGTCGACAAGGACTTGTATCTGCTATGATCAGCGGTTTTCACTAATTAACACAAGTTACGACTCCCTGATGCGAGGATAACATTTTACACTACCGAATGAATCAGGAGTTGAATGGAGGTCTGTGGACGGCAAACCTCGGCTCCTCGCCACCGTCGCCCATCTCCTGTAAGAACCCGGATACTCCGTACTCAACCCACCGTCCGCATCATTGTACAACAAGCTATATGGTGAAATGTCAAGACAATTACAAATGTTCTTTGATTTGTAATGACTGATAAGAGGTATATGAATCAAGAGGAAAATTCTGGAGACAATTTTTCATCTTGGCTCCTGTCGAGGCTGTGATGTCATGTTGATGTTATCCAGGCACAAGCAGGTCCTGGCATCAACGGCGAAAGGATGCAAATCCCGAGCCAATTTCTGAAGTAGATTTTTGAGCAATGCAGCTTTGTCTGTGATTGCGATGTATATATAGTATGGACCAATGTAGGGCAATCCCTCTGTGTAAATATTGCCAAGTACACTACCACACTTGGTCAAATTATCAACCCTAAAATCCTACAATCTCTTACCACGGATAGAACAAGATGGCTTCTAGATACCACTCAGCTCCCGTCGATGTCGCCCCGCTGGGCAAGCCATTACAATTCACAATTAGCAAACGCACGGCACCCAACCGGTTCTACAAAGCCGCCATGACCGAGCGGATGTCCTCCTGGTCACCCACCGATCTCAAGGCACGGGGTATCCCCAGCCGGGAGTTGATCAATCTCTACAAGCGATGGGGTGAAGGCGGTTACGGACTCATATCTACTGGTAACATCATGATCGCTTACGACCAGCTGGAAGCCCCCGGAAACCCCATTATCGACCTGGAGAATCCCTTCCACGGGGAACGTTTCGACGCCTTCCGCGAGCTGGCCTCGCAAGCCAAGAAACACGGCAGCCTGGTTATCGGCCAGGTCAGTCATCCAGGCCGGCAAACAGAGGAAAGGCTCCAGCCCAACCCCGTCTCCGCCAGCGATGTTCAGCTCGACAAAGAGATCATGGGGATGCGATTCGCCAAGCCGCACGCTGCGTCCAAGGACGAGATCCAGGACTTCATCCGGCGGTGGACGCATGCCGCTGTGTACCTGCACAAGGCTGGCTATGATGGTATCCAGTTGCACGGCGCGCATGGGTACCTCCTCGCACAGTTCCTGTCGCAGACGACGAATCGCCGCACCGATGAGTACGGCGGGAGTCTGGAGAACCGCGCGCAGCTGATTGTGGAGATCGCGCAGTCTATTCGGAAGGAGCTACCTGCTTCGACTGGTTTCATTTTGGGCATCAAGATCAACTCGGTTGAGTTCCAAGCTGGAGGTTTCACCGCGGAAGAAGCGCGCGAGCTGTGCCAGATTCTGGAGGAGAATGAGTTTGATTTTGTCGAGTTGTCAGGAGGCACGTATGAGTCTCTTGCGTTCAGCCACAAGAGGGAGTCCACCAAGCAGCGGGAGTCGTTCTTTTTGGAATTCGCATCCCTAATTACGCCGGTTCTGAGCAAGACGAAGAGCTATGTGACCGGTGGCTTGCGTACAGCGTCCGGGATGGTGGGCGCCTTGGAGACGGTGGATGGCGTTGGACTCGCTCGACCAGCGTGCCAGGAGATCCGTTTGCCACGTGACATCCTGGATGGCAAAGTGCTCGCAGCCATCAATCCAAAGATTGATCAGCAGGATTTCGGAGTTACCAGCGTTGCGGCGGGTACGCAAATGAAGCAAGTGGGCAAGGATGAGCAGCCGATCGACTTGAGCGATGACAAGAACGTGGAAATGTTCATGAAGCACCTAGGTGAATGGGGTCAGAAGATGCGAGAAGGCGCGGCTACTATGAACCTGTACGGTTATGTTGATTTGCCGAAGGGTGAAGCATATAGAGGATAGACCAGGTAGCCTCCGAGATTAAGAGGTATAGACTGTCAAACAGCCAATAGCAAAACAAATATGGAGTACCTGAGGCAAACCATATCTACCAATCAACCTGAGGCACAAAAGAATAAGCGAGCGAGTGCCGCTAGCGTCGCACGGACCACCACGCCTTTAATATAAATATTCCTTCCACCCCCCGTCTCTTTAGACTTTTTTTTCTTTTCTTCTTCAGCTCTCTTTGCCTTTTGGCTTAGATCAAGTGTAGTATCTGTTCTTTTCAGTTTAATCTCTGAAAGTGTTCTAAGGAACACAACATTGATTAATCTCATTTTTGGACCCCGTGGCGAGGCCTCTGTGCTTGCGCATGCCTTGCCACACAGTGTCATTGGGCTTACACTACCCCCAATAGACGCGACCCTTTTCATCAATACGGCCGGCTTGACCGACTGGTTGGAGAAGAGGTTTCTAAAGACGTACATCGGCTGATGGTGGCAGACAGTTCCAATTTTCAGGAACGTGTCCAACGGCGCATCGCTCATTCATTCTTACAGCAAGTTCCACGCGAGCCCTTGAATACATCGCAGAGAACTACCTACACAGTATACCCAACTCTAGCGCCTGCTCTTTCTACCGTTACACAATATAGTTTGATCCAGAGCAACGGAGACCGAGCAGGCTCAGGTATCCCAAACCTCCACCGGTGTGAGGGCAATTGCTAAGAACAGAGCCCAACAGGTTGAGGTGAGCTGAAATCTACCAGCTGGTCGGTCTCCTTATCTCAAAAAGGAAGTTGAAGGATAAAATACTTAAAGTTCTGGCGGAACTACGTTCCTGCATTCTCAATAAAACATCGATCTCATGTCTCTAGCGTAGTGGTGCCACCATTCATTCGCGCAAGCGGCAAGCCACTCCTCCAAGGGTCTAATAGGTCTAGCCATCGTGATAAGGCTCCCCAATGTAAGGACACAAGGACATAGAGCTGCGTTCTAGCTACTGGGGTAAAGTATGATAGAATATACATCCAATGGGATCGCCTTGAAGTAACTATTGTTATAAACTTTAGTAAATGCCTAGGAGCTTTCTTCTATGGCCCTTAACTTCTTCCTTTTTAGGAACGGATAAAGGCCAGGCGATATAAGGGAAATGATGGGGTCTATCCGTGCTTCTAATATAATCCTCTGCGATGCATGGCCATACAATTTTCCAGGAAGCTGCGGCATGATACAGTCCTGCTTATTAACAATTGTAATGAGTCAAGACTTTTAGTCCGCCGGCTCTTCAAGGTATTTCTATATCGACGGGTATCTATTGTGAAGGATCCGCTGATCAGGGTAGATAAGGCTGGATTTGACAAGGGACACCTGGACATAACCCTAATCGATTCGGGAGATCAACAAGACACAATATTACCCCTGAGGGTGATCCTCAGGGATCTGTAGACTAAAACATGGCTGTAAGGGTCTCAGCGGTGAGCGCTGGAGGTGATCTCATGCAGTGTGATGCAGCTCGGCATAGGGTGTCAGTTGTATATAAGCATGTGCTGCGCTAATATAAGATTAGGAAACATCGTTGAGAGCTTTTGAAGTTGCGGATAGTAGCTACACAAACACTACCTTTCCTTGAAGACATACTGAACCAGAGGTCACACGATATCAACAACACGCATGGTTAGATCAATAGTAAAAGTTACCGTTAAACTTCTGAAGGAATATTGCTGAGCCCATTTACACGTACGCACCCTAACCGTATTTACTAACCCTAAACAGAGGGTATTTGGTTGAACTACTCCAACAATATTAGACGATCAGGACCAGGACGCTACTATAAATTCGATGGTCAGCGCAAGAAAGAGCAGATAAACCGCTGTTTCCTTCTTCTCCTTTCAACCAAGTACCCCCTCCCCAACATATCTCGTCTGAACTGAATTGCTCTTCCGCTCGCCGTGCTGGTAACGCTCGTCGCTGGCCAATGCAAAAGCATACTACCCTGTCTGGTATGTTCCAGACATGTTCCCCAGAAAACAATCGTACTGATTGAGAATGTAGAGAGAGCATGTCTCGATAAGGCTCCGCAGTGCAAATACAGCGATCTCAAATGTGTCTGCCACACTCCGAGTTACCCAGGCCACAGCGCAAAAGTGTTTGAACACGCAGTGTCCTAAGGATAAACCCTGTACGTGTTATCCAGTGAAGAGGTCCTCAATAGATTGTTATGGGTGGTCACTAGATGCTCAGAACATGCGGGCAAAGTACTGTCATTAGAGGAGAGATCGGCACCTATGAAATCGATGAGCCTGCCTTGTCGTTGAGTTTTCGCAAGTGAGGTTTATCTGGCGACCGAAACGATATCTTCATTATGGACTGTGATGTGACACTGGATTCGAATCTCATCAATAACACTTGGATGTCAGGCAACTGGGCCTAATCGCACATATGGTTGTATAGTTTCTGTGAGTTGCCGTCTATAAGCTAATGTAATATCTAATTCTCGTTAGCGCCAAGTCCAACCTATATAACATGAATAAATATCTAGTAAGCCAGAAAAAGAACGATACCACCGCCCCCATTAGCTCATACACCTGCTAACGCTGCCACTCTTCGTACAGCTTAGCATCCATCGTTGAATATCCTTCTATGACTTTCAACCCACGCAGCCGTTCCTGCTCAATCCGCTCCCATGTCCACTCATTCGAGTCCCACGACGCAGTGTTGCTCTTCTTTTCCGCCTCCAGCGATTTCGGTTCCGGCATGTCCTCCTCCCGCAACTTCAGCACTTCCCGCACTAAAGACCCGTCTACCCCCGAAGCACTAGCCGTAAGGCCCTCTCCGTTGACCGGTGTCCCCATGCCCGATGCCTCAGCCGAGGTAGTCACCTCAGGTGCGGCAGAACCCTCCGGCCGCGGAGGCAGGAAGCCACTGGCCCGCAGGACTCTCTCCGGCGGCACGGTCAGCCGTCCCTTCTTGACGACGTACTTGCTCAGAGCAGTCGCGAAGAGCGTCTTCTCGCCGCCTTTCCGGCTCGCAGGCCGGAAAAAGAACGTCATAACGTACATCCACTTCTGGTCCCAGGCGATAACCTTGGTCTCCATCTCGTACAATTCAAAGGGCTTGATCTCGCGCTTGAAGCTGCAGTAGACCGAGCCCAGGGCTACATAAATGCCCTTGCGCTTGGGGGGCTTCGTGCCGTCCCGATGACTGGCTTTTAGGAGCTCTGCGTCGAGCTCCTTGCTCACGATTGAAGCTCCGGGGCTGTATAGACGGGTCACCAGGGCCGTGCGGGCCACGTCCAGGTCGGAGAAGTACGTGCTGTTGGACTTGTGCTGATTGTAATCCGTCTCCAGAATTGGTGCTCTGGATGAGATGCCGTACGACACGAATACCGGATGCGTCGGCTTCCCGCTGTGAGTGACTAGTGGTGTCCCCTTGGGAAAATAGGGATCCTGGACACGCCATCGTATGTTTCCCCAAAAGTGATATAGAATACGGGCCTACTTGAGTCAGACCGACTCTCCAATAAGGTCAAGAGTAATCTGGAGTACTTACGTGCCAAATGAGCGGCATGTTCTTCAAGTTAATGATTGCTAGCAGCAGAGCTAGCGCCTTCCATGAGATTAGGGGTGAGATGGCTGAGAGCAGCTCGCGCACGCTTTCGGGGCGCAAAGATGACAGAGCGTTCGCCATGATAGTTTTAATGAAGCAATCAAGGAGAATGAATTATAATAGAATTATCTTCGAAGGAAGTTTAGCTGGTGAGGGTGTATTAGATATGGAATGAAGTAAATGACTGCAACATGCGGATGGCCGAGTAAGATTGACGTGATATATCAATGCCAGATTGATTAGAGCACGCGTTTCAGGGAAACCGAAGGAGTGACTATCATTATGCAATGTATTCAAATGAGTGCAAAGTACGTCTTACGGATCTGCGGAAACTCGAGGAGCGACGGTGACTTTGTTGAATCGACCAAAATGTTGGGAGCCGAGGTGTCGATAACAATCACGTGGGATTAGATAGCATCCATGACAGATAAGCCGTGGAACGACATTTGTGCAATTGTGCTTCACAATGTCTTTAATATTACTGGACGTCCAAGAAAATTAGATATTCAAGTGCTCCAATGGCAATGAATCAGAAAATTGCCATGCAATTAGGGGGACTCGAAACACCCCGAGCACAGTTCAGCGGACTACTCGACACGAAGAACGTCCACCTACCCAACCTCTTACATGTCTCCGCCAAATCCTCCAAGTCAAACATTTCCCCAATCGGAATCCCCCACCCAGCCAGCAGACGATGATGTAGATCGTACTCAGGGTTCAAAGGTGGATACACCTCGAAGCTGACCGCGTCTGAAGCCACAGCTGCAAAGTGATTGTCCCACACGAAGCGCAGTACACGCTCACTCTGCTCGATCCCCGCATGCTTGGGCGTGGACTGCTGGCTATACTCCTTCTTCTGTTGTGCGTCCATTGCATCCCACGTTCTGGTTAGACCAACGCGAAGGAAGAAGATGTCGCCTTTCTTGAACTCGATCTTGCATTCACGCGCGATGGCCAGCACATCGTCTAATGATACTACATGCTGGCTCAGCGCGTCAACACTAATCCCCTTCTTCTCCGCCCAGGATAGGTAATCGATGAGCACGCCGCGGCCGGCGATGCCTTTCTTCGCCCAGTACCCGATCCCAATGCGGTTACTGTTTGGATCCTGAATCTCCTCAGCGGTGGTGCCGCCGTAGAACAGCTTCCGGTCCGCATTTTCGGAGGTTGGCGCAGGAGCGTTGTGATGCCGGAATCCGTCCCATTGAGAGGATTGTTGCGGGTTGAAATGATACTCATCATCGAAAGCGGCACCCAGAGCAACCCATTGAACCCTGTGTTCGAACGCTTTGCGGCCGAATCCTGGCAAATGTGTAAGTAACAAGATCTGACGTCAGAACTGAACTACAGACGGCGTGGCTCTGTACATGTCCATGGTCCTGCGGGGGAGGTCTCTAGCACATACCAGGAGGATCCAGCTTCTCTAAATCCCAGTTCAAGCAAACGCGCTCTCCCGTCTGGATCTGTGTCCGCGCCGCGTCGGCCACAATCTCCGGCGTCAAGAGCCGGAGCATTCCCAATCCTTCCTCTGCGGTTCCTGCTGGTGCGGGCCAGAACCGTCGCTTGTCAGGAAGATCATCATATCTTTCGGGTAGTTCGCTGATTCCTGACATGGCGCGTAAAAGGTAACGGAGCTCAGAGCAACTTCGGCTGTATAGATAGATGTGCGGGATTGGTTTCGAGAGCGCAAGTACCGTAATTAATTGGTGCTGATGATTTTGTTCATTCGGACAAGAGCTTGCTGAAAAAGAGATCGGCTGAGTCTTGCTGGATGGTTTCAACTATTCAGAATGAGACCAAGGAAAGCAAAACCTGGCAGTGGTAGTGAGTCTGGCACAGTATCGGAGCAACTCCGTTCTGAGGGGGGATGCGATCATTCCCCCACAAATGCCGCTTATGGTACGAACAGTCAATGACAATGCCTGCCTCTAAGAACGGGATATAATAACTCGAAGATGCATGAGAATGGAAAGTTCAACGAAGGAAAACAAGTGTCATTAACCGGACTCTCTGGGGATCCCTGGATAATTATGTATTCGAACAGAAACCTCACCCTAATGGCAGTTACACCCTAAATATACAGAATATCATATTCAAAGGTCATCCATGTCTTCATCGGCTGACGTTCTTGCTTTGCCCTTCTTACTTAGATCGGACAGCTCGTATTGCTCGCCAGAGCGCCCCGAACCAGCCGACATGGCAATGGCCTGCCGCCCGGTATCCGAAGACTCAAGAAACTCGCGCAGTCGCTTCTTGCCCTCCACCAGCGCCTGGCTGGAAGCGGCTTCGGTCATCTTAATTATCGGCCCCCAGAGGTTCAGCTGATATGTGACATAGGCCCCCACGGCACAGACAAACAGAAGGAAGAAATAGGCAGGATTACGAAGCACTAAAGAATTGTCAATCCATCAGCCCAATTGATTTCGGTTGGAAGTTTCACCATAGAATACTTACCTGCGATGATCTCGTTCCAACCCAGAGCAAGGAGAAGACCGTAGAAGTACAGAGGCACCTGAGTCATGCCGCCAATAGCACTTCGCTTAGCCTCAACATAAACTCCGTCCGCAGCTTTCTTGAATCTGACAGTGAGCTCTTGACGCTTAGCCTCGCTGAGAATCATCATCTCTTCATCCAGACTCTTGCCCTCTTCCTCATCAACACCGCCGATGGGCGGTAAATCTTCCTCATCTGCTGGAGTGGCAGAGCTTGGAGTGTGGCCTATCCAGCGATCAAGAGGGGGCGGGGCCGACGTCTCTGCCAGGCGGAAGCGCGAAAGGAGGGGGATCAAAGTCAGTGTTGATTCGCGCGCACGGGTATAGATGCCTTCAATATCATCGGTCGGTCGCCAGATCCTGGGTACCCCAGCATCATCGTAACGGAATTTGTCCTCAAAGTTCTCACGCAGTTTCAGCAAAAGATTGCCTTCTGTCATCTCTTCATCGATCTTGGCGCGCAAGACACCCCAAGACTTCCTCCGGAGCCTCCAGAGACCGACATCCACTTCCTCCAAACTGGCATCGAAGCTGCTGGCGCGGTCTGTGAACCTACGCTCGGCATCAAGCACCGTCTCCACGAAAACGTTCCACACACGATCCCAGAAAGCCTTCTCCAGAGGCTTCTCCCCTGTCTCCGGAGCACCTCCTCCTGCGCGTCCAGATCCCAAAGCGTTGAACTCAAGCCCGACCGACTCTCCCAGACGGGACTGAACCCATCTTTCAACGCGATTGGCCAAACGACGCATCTCCTCTCTGCGTAATCTTCCGCTAACGTCCGCTAGTTCCTTTTCATACAAGGCCAGTTCTTGCTTATAGTCACTCCAAGTGGTGCCTTCCACCACAGTTGAGCGCGCCACATCTTCAAACTTGGCTATGGCTTTCTTCACTTCTTCATTGACAATTTCAGCAAAGTCGTAACCTGTACCCTGCTTTTGGCCTGACTTCACAGAGGAGGAAACTGCCTCACTGAACTCGTTAATACCCGACTTGTGCGCGGCATTAAGTTGACCTTGTAGAAGAGCTTTCAGACGGGTATCGACTTTGCTTTCAAGCTCTGCCCGCTTGCGCTGGTAGACACCTTTATGATACCTGCTGGCTTCTGTCTCGAAGTTCTTGACAGCTTTGGCCCGTGATGATCGCATCGCAGCACCCAAACCGCCAAGTACCTCCGGCTCACCAAGACGCGCAGATTGTGACTGCTTCTCCTCAAATGGGACAATGGCTTCATCAAAAGCTATCATCACTTCTCTCAAGATCTCGTCGCAGCGGAATTGTGCAAGTAGCTCCTGTTGCGTAGGCAGGTCGAGATCCTTGTTATTCACGATCTGGTCCCAAATACCCTCTGCATATCGCGAAAACCCATCTGCGGGGATCCGTCGATGATATTCCGGAAGGAAGACTCCTCCCTCAGAGAACTCGCCTCTGCGGGCATCCATACTGGGGTCTCTTTGGCCTTCGCGGAATCGCAAGCTAAGCTTCTTTGTCTCGGCCACAAATTGCTCGGGTTGGTAGCTTTTGTGAGGCAGTCCATAGAATTGGAAATCGAAATAATCATGAACACTGGAGCTTTCAAGGCCAGGAGGCTTCGAAATAGACTCCCAGAGGCGAGCCATGTCCTCCATCAATGTCTTCTGTAGATTTTTGAGGGGTGTTGCGCCGACAAAATCACGAATCACAAAGAAGAGAAGTGATCGGTGTGTGGTGCTGCATTAACAAAGGAATCAGTAGATAGTCGCATGGGTTTGGACGATCGGGTCAGGTCGACTGGGCCTATGAGTAGAACACATACTTCTTGTCCTTCAGGAACAGTTGCAAATTGACTTCGAAGACTGTCTTTAACAGACCCATATTCGCACCCTGGTACAGACCGACCTGGTGTTCCCATATATTCACAATAAGCACCTCACTCGTAGCAAGGGCGAACAGAGCACTTTTGCGCTCAAAGTCCTGGTCTTCTCCTCTCTCACGACCATCCGTACCTTCAACATCCATGACGAGGATGTTATCCGCCATGCGCAGGGTTGGGTCCACTGTGGCCTCTCCTTCTTTCTTGTTCTTCGACATCCAGATACCCTTGGTTGTCTGGCGTCGCTCCGAATCGGACATGACCGAGAAGTGCGTGCCGAAGAGATGGTTCAGCAGCGTGGACTTGCCAGTCGACTGCGAGCCAAAGACGGAAATGAGATGATAGTTGAAACCAGCAGGAGTGACATTTTCGAGGCTCAGATACTTGGAAATATTGGGACTGTGAGGTACGGACCGTTAGCTGATTAACTCCACCACTCGCGCTCTCACCATGTCAAATAGACATTGAATCAAACAGCTGAGTCGGTCAAGAGCATGACGAAGATACGTACTTGAACTCCTTATTCTCGTCTATGACTTGCACACCATGTTCGTACGCTGTCTTGTCATTGTCGACGCCAATCGTGGCGAAATGACCATTGGTCGCCATGGTGAACAGTATACTACGAAGTCAGCCGTCGGGAGATGAAGGATATAACGGAGACGCTGTCAATTCCTTGGACAAAGTCGAGATTTTCGTTGTTGCAAAAATTAAGATGGTGCGACAGAGTACCACAGACCACTGAGCAGTGGCTGGGGAATCGTCAAGATGCGGAGACCGTGGCGAGTTGTAATGAGAGCGATGTTGGCTTGTGGGATAGGTGATTGCAGATGATGTAAATATCCATGCAAGGGAATCAAAAACAAAGACGAATGGACCCGAGAATCACAAGACTCTCCGGCGCGGGCTCATGTGCGATGATCAAACAGCCTAAGCCCCGAGGTAAGAGGCTCGTTGGTGGTCGGCCGGTGTTATGATGCTGTGGCCAGAAGGGGCACTCGTCACTCGTCACTGGGGGGGCCATCACCGCTTGAGTGCAAGCTCGAGGGCGGGACCATAAGCCCCTTTTTTGGCCTAGCGTTGGTGTCACCCTCTAGGAAGTTGCATCGCCATCAGTACACTTAGTGAGTCTCGCCACTTCGCACGATTTCTTTCAGACGAAACCGACATATGACAGTTGCCGCTGTACACAGGTATTAGATAGTTCGAAGAAATCTTCCACAGAAATTGAAACCCAGCGCGACGACCGCGGTTCTTTAGATATGACTGTGCGTTTTCGATGGATCTTCTTAGAAAGATATTACCAAAAGACACCTACTTGGAACTAGATTCTCAATGCATCCATAGACATCGTTTATTCATATCAAGGACATGGAAGAGAGGAGGAGAGATATAACAAAATCCAGCTACATGCTTTCAATACAATAAAGTTACATGACATGACTCAAAAAACGCCCGCGCAAACCTTCCTGATAGATACCTTTGCCGTTTCCCGCGCTGCAAGAAGGTGCGACAAAAGGACACTGAAAGTATATTTTTTCTTATAATACAGAGCAGCCAGTCAGTCGGTCATGCCTCGTGGTTATCTGCGAACCAGCCCTTTACTCGGTCATGACACGTGTGATCAGACCAGTAGCGACAGTCCGGCCACCCTCACGAATGTTGAAGCGTTGACCAGCCTCAGCAGCAACAGGGTGGTGGGTCTTCAGGACCATCTCGACGTTGTCACCAGGCATAACTCTGCGAGATTGGTCGCCGTCAGGGAAGCTGAGGTCAGCAGCCTCGTCTGATGAATCGTTAGCATATATCTCTAATCTCCCGGAAGATCTGGACACCGTGCGCGGGAACTTACCTGCAGTACGGATGAAGACTTGGGGACGGTAGTTGGCACCGAAGCCAGTACGACGGCCACCCTCCGCCTCGGTCAGGACGTACATGGAGACGAGGAACTTGTCGTGAGCCTTGGTGCTGCCGGGAACAGCAATGACCATACCACGCTTGACGTCTTCACGTCGGATACCACGCAGGAGGAGACCAGAGTTGTCACCAGCACGCGACTCATCACAGCTCTTCTTGAAGGTTTCAATGTCGGTGACTTTGGTCTTCTTGGGTTCGAAAGAGCCTCCGACGATCTCAACCTCAGAGTCCTTCTTCAAAATACCACGCTCGACACGACCAGAAGCCACGGTACCACGGCCGGCGATAGAGAACACTTCCTCGACAGACATCAAGAAAGGTTTGTCGAGGTCACGCTGAGGAGTGGGGATCCAGGTGTCAACAGCGTTCATAAGCTGCTCAATTCTGTCTTTACCGATATCGTCACGGCGTCCTTCGAGAGCACAGAGAGCGGAACCGAAAATGATCGGAGTCTCTTCACCCTCGAAACCGTAGCTGCTCAGCAGCTCACGCATCTCGAGCTCGACAAGTTCCAGCATCTCCGGGTCATCGATAGCATCGACTTTGTTGACGAAGACAACGATCTTCTGGACACCAACCTGGCGGGCGAGCAGCAAATGCTCACGAGTCTGGGGCCTATTCGAGGAAACGTAAGCGATGCGTTTTACCACATATCTCCCAAAATGTTCCACCTACATCTGACCGTCGGAGGCAGCAACGACGACAATAGCGCCGTCCATGTTAGCAGCACCAGTAATCATGTTCTTGATGTAATCGGCGTGACCAGGGCAGTCGACGTGGGCGTAGTGTCGGGAGTCCGTCGAGAACTCAATGTGAGCAGTGGAGATGGTGATACCACGCTTGCGCTCCTCAGGAGCCTTGTCAATGGCACCATATTCAAGGAAGTTGGCAAGGCCCTTCGCCGACTGGTGCTTGGTGATAGCGGCGGTCAAGGTGGTCTAAGGAATGTGTGAGCAATGTACAGACAGGCGCGGGAAGGTCGGAAGCATAAAGGGAAGTTTTGGAGCTACCTTGCCGTGATCGACGTGTCCAATGGTACCTATACAAGATTGTCAGTGGAAGACGCCAGTCTGCAAATGAAAAATTGTTTTTTACCAATGTTAACGTGAGGCTTAGTACGCTCGAAGGCACTAGCCAGCCCACGAGCAGCTAGTTTGTTGTTGCCAAACACATGTTGGACGGGGTTGAGGGCGCGAGGGCGCAGCAAAGAAGCCTTGCTAGAGCGCAGAAGAAGGTTTGCGGTTCTGGAGATGCTCGACATGATGACTGCCCTGGACTAGAACGACAGACAAAAAGAGACAAGAGCAAACACGATAGAAAGGAAGTGATGGAGCCGGACTGATGGTCGAGAAGTTCTCCATCGGACCCCGAAAAATTTAAGTTAGGGGAGACTGCTTAGTCATGAGTCGCCCAATCACAGCTGCGGGATTGTGGAGGTCACTCATTGGGAATCGATATGTACCTACCTAGATACCTTGATCGTGCCACAATAAACGGCATTCACAGTGGGCAAAAGCATAATTAAACGCAGCAATATTCCTTTACACAGGCTTCTCAAACCCTATGTAATGGACAGAAGAGTCACGTAGGACTGATATGGTGGGGTAAGAATCCAATTGCCAAGGTGATACGGTCTTCCATCTACTCTGTAGAACGCACGTAGGTAACCTTCTGGTCTTACTTAGGTTTGAAGTAATGGAGTGCTATAATACATTACGGTTTACTGAGGGTCATCAATGTTTATGTACGCCAAATATGTCATAGGGAACTGCAAGCTGGCGAAGGCATATCAAGCGTCCTTCTTTTTCACATATAGGGTGACATGTTTGCCCGGTTCCCCTTCCATGGGCTTGATCTGAATCGCATCAGCTTCCTTCGTAGCTTGCAAGACACTGTCCATGACGTTCTTGATCTCTTCCACAGTGGGTGCCCGTTTGCCCTTTTTCCGCGTCAGGATGATCTCCACACGTCGACCCTTCTCCAGGAAATTTGTCAACTGCTTCAGGCGGTGTGCCAGATCGTGACTGTCAATGGCCCAATTCAACTCAATCTGCTTCACTGCTGTTTTAGTGGCATGTGCAGCTTTGGCTTTGGCTCGCTCGTGCTCACGCATGGCCATTTTGTTCACGATCTTGCAGATTGGTGGGCGGTCAGGAAGGGCCGGAGACACTTGTATGAGAAAGTTCTCAGAGCGATCGAAAGAGCGTAGCACATCTCTTAGCTTCATTGCAGGCTCAAGGTCGCCATTTTCGTTGACTATTTGTATATACTCCGACCGAATATCTTCATCTCTGATCTGTTTCTGTTTTGATTGCTGTGAGGGAAGATGGCGAGAAGACTGAAGGAACCTCAATTGTGTTCCTCGTAAAGCATAATTGTAGCGTAGAAACTGGACATGGGTGGTCTGGAAAGGGGACAGGAAGGTATGGCGAAGTGCTTGTGTTATCGATACTAGGCCGCGTATGTGCTTCATGTCGAGTATTGGTCGTCGGGCAGGGCGAGTTCGGTGGCAGGAAGCGAAAGAACAACCGAGATAACCCAAAAATTCGTATAAACAAAGCGAATGGAAAATATGGGCGACTTCTTTTGATTGTGAGGTGGAAACAGAGAGTGATTGGTGTAGATAAGGAGTGCTCTAAAGAGGTAGTTGATCCCACGACTGTTCTATCCCATCCACTGGACGCATGCAGGAAGCCAAGCCACAGCAGATGGGGAACAACCGCCACAGCGAGTGGGTCTAATGCCATCGTTTCAAGGGTCTCGTCTCCGTCTTGGACTTTCCTTTCCCCTGACTTTCCGCCATATTTCTGACATCGATCTTATTTCATCTCATCCTCCACGATCTCATTTGGGCTCGTTCGGAGGCGTCTGATGAATCGATGGTCCTCACTCGTTTTAGTCGTTAATTAGTCTCTCATTCTCATTTCCAGCCCCGTCGAAAAGAACACTAAGAGCGTTTCTTTGTGGACGCCACTTGAGTTTGTCCATTTGGCCTTGCTCGCATGTCGACTGGAGTTGACAGTCGACATCTACAAACTACAGTATCTTATATACACTCAGAAGCGAGTCCTTATCGGCGATCTAACTCGCAGGCTCTCCGAGCTGCGGATTCTGTGGAAAGTCCGCAAAAGTCATTGAAGCAACGACGCTCTTCAGTACTAGCAAATATGGCACAAACTCAGAGAACCCGTTATTTAAAGACGGGCGCCATTGTGGCAGCCCTGTTGCTGATGTTGCTTTGGATTTCTCCGTCAAGACCTATGCGCCCGAGCTTTCCTCAAGGTCAGTCCAATTGATCCTCTTACAATTTGCTTATCAGGATAACTCATTATGTACTCAGGACGACCAAGCACCAGTGCTCCCGCCAAAGAAAAGTGTTCAAAGCCCCATGATCCCAAAAAGCCATTGATTCAGTATGCTCTTATGATTGATGCCGGAAGCCAAGGGTCTCGAATTCACGTCTATCGATTCAACAACTGCGGCCCCTCCCCCGAACTTGAAGACGAAGTGTTTTTCCAGACTGAGCCGAAGAAGGGCGGCTCCGGGCTGAGTTCTTACAAAGAGGATGCTGAAGGAGCAGCCAAAAGCCTTGATCCCCTCATGGAGGTTGCAATGAAGAATGTTCCTGATGAATACAAGTCTTGCTCGCCAATTGCTGTAAAGGCCACAGCCGGATTGCGCATGCTTGGCCCGGAAATGAGCCAGAAGATCTTGGACGCAGTACGGACTCGACTCGAGACTGTTTACCCGTTCCCTGTGGTGTCCAAAGAGAAGGGAGGGGTGGAAATCATGGATGGCTCTGACGAGGGTGTCTATGCCTGGATCACAACGAATTACCTTCTCGGAAAGATTGGCGGTCCTGACGAAACACCTACTGCCGCAGTCTTTGACCTTGGTGGAGGTTCTACCCAGATCGTTTTCCAGCCCACATTTCCGAAGAGCAAGTCAGGCGGCATGCCGGAGCGCTTGTCCGAAGGTGACCACAAGTACGATCTCCAGTTCGGTGGCCGCCATTTCGAGCTGTATCAGCATTCTCACCTTGGCTACGGTCTCATGGCTGCGCGCAAAGCCGTTCACACATCCATCGTTGAGAATATGCTCGCGTCGAGTCCCAAAGACTTGTCCTGGCTTAAGCAGCCAATCCCTAACCCTTGTATCGGGCCCGAGATGGAGAAGAATGTCACTTTGGAATTTCCGGAAGGACACAAGCTCGCTCCAGAAGTGCAGGTTACAATGGCTGGTCCTAAGGTAGGGTCTACCGCCGCTCAATGTCGTGGTCTTGCAGAGAAGACTCTGAACAAGGAGGCTGCATGCACCCTTGCTCCTTGCTCCTTCAACGGCGTCCACCAGCCTTCGCTTGAGAAGACATTTGCCAGGGAAGACGTATATATCTTCTCTTACTTCTACGACCGTACCAAGCCTCTGGGCATGCCTGACTCGTTCACTTTGGATGAATTGCATCAGCTTACGTCGACCGTTTGTGGTGGCGAAGATAGCTGGGGCATCTTTGCAGGCATCGAAGGTGCCCTGAAAGAGCTTCGTGATCGGCCCGAGTGGTGCCTGGATTTGAACTTCATGATGAGTCTGCTGCACACTGGCTATGAAATGCCCCTCACTCGCGAGGTGAAGATTGCCAAGAAGATTAAGAACAGAGAACTCGGATGGTGTCTCGGTGCAAGGTAAGATAAGGACGAAACTAAAAATGTTTACTGTATATGCTAACGTCTCTTCCTTCAGTCTGCCCCTTTTGAGCCAAGAATCTGGCTGGACTTGCCGTATCAAGGAAGTCTCATAATGGATGATGCTGCTATTTCTTGCGTTAATCACTTAATTGCGACGGATACATTGCTTCTTCTTTCGTGCAAATACATTAGACCATTGACTGTCGACTATCACCTTATTCATGTACTAGACCACTGATTTGTTGTTCTTTGCGGCCGACTGCTCTCCGGTTCACAGAACCTTGCCAGAATATTATACATGTGAATGTGCATAAATGACTCACTGATTGTTAGATACATTCAGAGGAATTGACTTCTACATCAAATGAATGAGCAGAAAAAAAAGGTTTTTTTTTGTCCAAGAACACGTAGCCAACTGAATTTGGTAATAGCAAAACTGAAATATCCGTCAACGCCAGGCCTATGCAATGTTTCTAAGAAGATCGTGGCTCAGTCAATTCTTGAATCGTGGGCTTTTGATCCGAAGATTTCTTCTTGCCCATCAGTTTATCCAAAATATCGGAGTCTTTCTGCAATTTAGTATCCGATTCTGCAGCATCTTCATCGTTTGCAGATTCTTGACCGTTGCTGATCTCCTCATCAGTAGAGGTACTGCCATCAGCACGTTTCTCTTCAAAAACGCCTAGTCCGAGGTTCTTGAGACGGCAACATCAGCATTCATGTTCTCACTCATAATCAAAGAATCAATTCAACCCACCATTTCAATGTACTGGCCCTCCTGGTTCTCCACTTCGTCCAGTTGTAGATCTTTGCCTCTCCCCGCGGCTATCTCTCGTTGTAGATCCTCATTGGCACTCTTCAGCTTCGGCAGAAATGCAGAAAGTCGGGAGAGCAGATCCGGTTCCTTTGTGATGCGGTGTATCCGAGGTTTCTGTTGCGCCGAAATGCGCGGTAGGGAAGAACCAGCGCGGGATGCCTGGTCGGAACTATAATCGGCTTCTTGATCCTCATCTTCGCCATCTCCATCGCTGTCGCTGTCGTCATCGGAGCCAGAGGAGGAAGTGTAATCATCATCATCGTCCTCCTCACTTTCGCTAGATGTGGAGGCTATCTTGCGGGGGTTCTCCGGCTTCTTTGCGCCGTCATGCTCTGCAGCGGATGAATTCGTCGGCAGGCCCTTATCGTCATTGCGATAAGTGGGGACAATTCTGGCTCTGGTTCGTTTAGAGGGCGATGTTTCGTCGAAGGATGATAGGAACGGGGGTTCGTCAGCTCGTAGGCGCTTCCTGACACCGTCCTCCATTCTGTGTCGTTCGTTCGTCGTTGGTTGGTTCTGCTGAATTCTTCCCCAAATTCTGACCCGCTTAAACACCTAGAGGATGTTTCGCGCCAGGCGGTGGAGATCGAATCAGCGCCAACGTGCCGGAATCAGACGATGCGATGCCATGCGATCGCGTGCAGAATTGCAGGCGCCATGTGGCAGATGGGTCGTCGAGAAGAAAGAGTGAAGATCATTCAGTCACCTAAAGAATGAAACATGGTGGCATCTTCCTGACCTGGTTGGAGCACTCCTGCAGCCATCAAAAGTGGGCAGAGTACAAATGAATTTGAAACTAGGCCCCTAGTTCTTCATGATGGCGACTGCTAATAATATTAAGTCAGATTATAATCTGACGATGAGCTTGAGCTGCTTTTGATAAGTATTTCCTTTAATTGACTGTTTAACAACCCCGCTTTTCCCCTGCAGAATCAGCTCTACTTGATATTTCTTCGTCAAGACTTGGCTCTTTGTCCAAGGTCTTTGTCCTCTCGTTGCCTGTTTTAGTATTCTCAGTCTCCCCTGAAGATATCCACTTCAGTTTTTTTGAGGTGAGTTGAATATATTTTCGTAGTCTTTGTATGTACCTTCTTTCACTTGTATCGCATGTCCTTTATCCTGGCGCTCACTTTACCCCAACTATTATCCCCCCACACCCCTCAGTCCTTTATATAGTTGGTGTTTCAGATAGCTTCGGACTTAGGTTCCTTGGACGACTTTCGTCTTGCATATCTTACAATGAACTATTGTCTTCAATGTCATGCTGACTTCAAGATACAGGAGATTCGCTTCTCAAACGTACTACGCTATATCCGCCTCAGCTAGTCTGGGTGAAGGGGCTCTTCTATGAAGAACCATTCTCGGTCGTTCCAGTCTCTCCTGATGCCAAAGAGCTAAAGTCTCTACCAAGGGCACAAATACGCTTCTTGGATAACAGCTCCGCTCAATCAGCCCTTTGCAACTCATCTGAAACTCCAGCAGCACAAGATGAGTGCGCCCAAACTACACATCAACGACCAAAGCCCTATAAAAGACGAAAGCTCTCCAACACAAAAAGCAATGGAGTGCCCGTCCTCTTCCACGAGAAAGTCGCTGCATCAGAACATCCTCGGAAAACTACGCCCTCTGCCATTGCAATACCACTGGACAGTATGGTATGACAGACACTCAGAATCCACCGACTATGACAACCGATTGTATGTCTTGCATGAGGATGTAGCCGACATTGCCACTTTCTATCGCGTCTACAACAACTATCCCTGGGATAAAATCCGCCTACGAGACTCAGTCCATATCTTCCGCAAGGGCGTCCGTCCGGTATGGGAGGACTCAGAAAACCTCAGGGGTGGTTGCTGGAAATTCCGAGTCCCTAAGAGCAAGGCTCAGGAATTCTTCCACGAGATTGCCATTCTCTGTATGGCCAACGAATTCCAGGCTGCTTTGGAGAAAGGTGTGCAATCCGCTCATCGGTGTCCGCGAGCATCCGAGAACTTCGAGCTGACTGCTTTCCCTAGAACATGACCATGTCCTTGGTGTTTCCACCTCTGTCCGTTTCAACTCTCATATGATCTCCGTATGGAACAAGATGGGCACGAACGAACGCTCTATCAAGATCCTCGAGCAAACGATTATCGACCGTCTATCGCCTGAGCTGCGGCCCTCCAGTTCCGGTAGCAACTCGTATTTCTATAAACGACATGATGAGAATGATGGATACCAGGAAGCTGTCGCAGCGAGTTCTTCGCATTGATCGGCTACGTCCCACAGATCCCGATCTGACCTCCGACCGCTTTCACGCAGCGCATATAAGATGTATACTCTTTATATTCTTCATTTCAGTGTGATACTGAGAGTTCCTTCAGTCGGCAGCCGTTTGATGCTCCTCAAACGTCTTTCACGGGACAGCAGTATTGCCAGTCTTTCAGTGCTGTTGATCGTTATTACCATTAGGTTTTTTATCATAGATGACCAGAATGTAGGGTAGTGTACATGATATAGGATACAATACAGAGGAGATGCTCTCGATAGGTCATCACGCTGGACGGAAAGGGATGAGTATCTAACGACTCCTGCTTCTCCTTTGACCGGTGCTAAGTTTCCGTACCCCGCGGTCATCCGCTCCGCGATCAGGAAGCTCCACGCCTTTGTCTTTCCTTTCTTCATTTTCTTTTTCTTTAGGTTTCTCTTTCTCTTTCTCTCCGTCTCGAGCCTTTTCACGTTCCCGCTCGCTGCCGGGTATGTACCGATCAATCTCCACGAACCCTCGACGATCATCTCGCTCCGGGCGATCTGGAGATCGGACCCGCCTTCGAGGGGATCTGCTCCGATGGCTCGTTGGGGGCACATAGCGGTCGATGTCAAGAGTGCCGGGGGAACGCCGTCGCGAGCGAGACGGTTTTCGAGAGGGATTCGGAACGCGGGACTTGGATCTTCCCCGCTCACCGTTACGGTCTCCTTCTCGGACCCGGCCTTGGTCTTGTTCTTTGTCTCCGTCTCGATGCCGTTCTTGATCACGATTCCGCTCTCTATCTCGGTCTCGGTCTCGGTCTCGAGTCCGATCTTGGTTTCGATCTCTAGCGCGGGAGGCAGAGCGCGATCGTCCGCGTCGAGCTCGTGAACGAGACCGAGAATAGTAACTGCGACGTCGATGATCCCGATCCCGGTCCCTTTCGCGTTCTCTGTCCCTGTCCCTGTCACGCTCTCTATCCCTGTCTCTATCTCGATCTCGATCTCTGCTGCGATCACGAGTGCGATGATCACGATCTCGTTCCCGTTCATCCGTTGGACGCGAGCGATCTCGTACTCGATCTTTCTCGCGTTCAGCACTGCGATCTCGACCCCTGCTGCGGTCCCTGTCCCGGTCATAACCACGACCAGTTGACCTGCTCCTACTTCTGCGGTTAGGGCGGTAGCTACGGTCGCCATATCGGTTAGCTCTGAAATCCCGTATGGCAACTCTATCATCAGGGTTACGATCACGCGGGCGACTAGAAGCATCACGGGATCGTTCCCGTCGACGATCATCATCAAAGCGAGGTGTGTATCTTCTCCGTGAGCGGCTGCGCTCCCGGCTGCCGTCACGTCTATGCGCGCGATGACGGTCATCAACAGTCGAGTCTCGCCTTCGGCGTTGGTCCACATCGACAGACGGACTGGCGGACTTCAATGGAGTAATGGAATACCTCGATTCTGTTGCGCCTTTTGGTTTAGTCGGCGGGGGCTTAAGGCCGTTCTCGATGGCCTCAGCTTCTTCAAAATCAAATTCCGGTTTCTGGCGCGCCTTAGCGGCAAGCTCCTCGCCTTCTTTAAGCAGCAGTTGGAGAGCGGCCTCTTCCAGCGACTTATCATCCACGGCAACAGGAGGCGGTGGAGGCGGCGGAGGCGCCTGCGTTGGCTCCTTCGGAGTAGCGGACTTCTCTCTCCTCGAATCGCGATATCGCGGTGATCGGTAGCCTATTGAGCGAGGGCGGTCACAGTCGCGCTCTCGATCCCTGTCTCTGTCTCTGTCTCTGTCCCTGGTTCGACTGCGATCACGGTCCCTAGATCGATCCCAGTCACGGTATCTTTCGCGCTCTTCTCGTCTCCGGCGCTCATATCTTTCCTGTCGTTCCATTTCTCGTTGCTCTTCAAGTCGCCGTTCCTCTTCCCGCTGACGCTCACGCTCTGCACGTCGCTGCTCCTCACGCTCTTTCCGTCTTGCCCTTTCTTCCTCCTCCTTTTGGCGTTCGATCTCGCGCTTCTTGCGTTCCTCTTCGGCCTTTCGACGAGCTTCTTGCTCTTCAAGTTCTCTCTGTTTGCGCACCATCTCCTGCCATTCTCGTTCGCGTATCTCACGTTTAGCTCTTATCTGCGCAGCGAAATCCTCGTCTGTTTTATTGCCGGCTTGCTCCTCTTTCGCAGCGAGCTCGTCTCCGACTTGCTGACGGCGAATGTCCCTGACAGAATCTAAGATGAATTGCAGGTGATTTGAGGCCAGCGCATCAATAAGCTTTTCGGCTTTCTTGTAGACGTCGCTCCGATCGACGGCACCCTCTATCAATGTCGCGGCTTTTCCTCGTTCACGGGATAGAAGCTCCGGTTCGCGTTCTATTTCCGACTCTGCTAATTCGATCAATAACTTTGTAAACTCGGCTCTTGCTTCCTACATGATAGACTTGCAGTTAGAGAGTGTGTCGATAATTTCAAGATCAATCTGAAACATACTCCGTCATGAAATTCAGCCCAGATTTTCTTGCGCACATTATCAAAACCTCCTTTCTTCTTAAAAGCGTGCAGTAGGTCCTCAATCGCAGTGTGTTGCGCCGCGGTCAATGGCAGCTCTTCCGTCTTGAACTTCTTCCGCTGTAGACTTTCAACATCGAGCAAGGGCCGTTTGACGCCAGTGGGTTGGACATCTGACATCTCATCTGGACCAGCCATCATGAGATAATCAGATTAATAATTCGGGAAGCACGTAACCAGGCGCCGCCGAGCGGCATTCGAAACTGGTTTGGACGAAGTGAAGCGCGTCGCAAATTAATATTGGCATTACCTCTTGTTACAGCGATTCTAACTATTTCCTGATTCAGTGAAAGTTGGCGCCGAGCTCGGAGGAACGATGATCCGCGGCAGATTGCGAACTGCGGCTCGGTGATTCGGCGGGCCTGGGTAAGAGAGAGGAGGAAAGCAACCTCATCTTGAACGATTGTCCGCTGAACGTGACCCATTGCGTCTCTGTCCGGGCCCGAACCTAGAAGCAATTGTCTTCATTCAACCATTGCGGCTTCTTCGGGTCACATTTTGTTTTACCGACCCCTCCCTATCCCAATCCGCGCAGTCCGCATCCACTACAAACACAATGGTTCACAAAGTCCTCTTCTGGGGCGGCTTCGGTATGTGCCCAGCCGGAATGATATCTCCTTCAATACCAGGAAACTGGCAATTGCCTGTCTGACTTCTGTCGGCATCCGTCAAATCGGTGAAGAGCGCCTTCTAACATCTCTCTCCATTAGGCATTGCCGTCCGACTCTGGCAACTCGGTATCGAGATGCGTCCTATTCTCGCCAAGGAATCTCTCTGGGTGTACCCTCTGTTCGCCGGCGTCGGTGGAAGCTTCGGTTATTGGCTACAGGGTGTTGAGGACAGACAGCTCAAGATTCTCGCTCAACGACGGGAAGCAATTCTGGAGAAGCGCCGGAGACGGGACGAACGCGAGGGAACATTGGAAGCAGGCGCTCTGGCTGCAGCATTGTGAAATCACAACGTCTGTTTATTGAAGGAGATATGCTACGCAATAACGGGGTTTCGTTTTACTGGATTGAGAGAACGCCCTATTGATTACTTGTACCAAAATGCAGAACGCCATCCTTTTCCCTGTCTTGTGGCCATTTCTCGACAAAGATGGGACATTAGAAGTGTTTTGAGAACGAGAAAAGGCTTAAGCTAAGGCTCATGAACAAGATTTATCCCAATTACTGTTCTATTGACTGCAATTGCACACTATTTCTGCAGTATATAACCGAACCATTCCGCTAAACCACAGCATCAAATTGAAATGACTGAATGCCGGGCATTAGGTGGCCATATACATAATTTAACAAGCAAATCCTTGTGTTGGTCTGCCTAGTTCTATGATGTTCGATCCAACCTAGGCCAGTGAATGATACATTCACTGTTGACTGACCCGCCCTTAGTGTGATACATACCCCGGGTTTTTGACTCTATCTCCTACTGTAGTCACTAGACTGAACATATGAATGCTTGATCCAGATGGGATAATCTACTCAAGACTCTCAGCTTTGCCTCCTGAAGACCTTTCTCGCGATCCCCAAGCTGACCGAAGACATGCCATTCTTTAATCTTCCTCACCATATCAGAGAGCAGATCTACCGATATTCCCTTGTCATGGGACGAGTTTTCATGCGTCCTTTCACTACCGTTGAAGTGCTCATGGATCCGAACCGAAAAGATATCTATGGCACGCCCAACCTCGCTCTACTCTTGACCTCAAAGCGCATATACGAAGAGGCAATGCCCATCTACTTGAGCGAAAATGTCTTCTCCCTCGTCCAAGTCGATATGTTGGCTGCTGCGCGCGCAGAGTATCCGCGTGTACTCGAGAACCTCAAGAAGGTCCGCAATCTAGAGCTCGTCTTCGACTGCCGTGATTACATTTACCTGGCACAATTTCTATCCCGGGAGCTTCCAGGCGTCATCGCGGCGGTACGGGATGCGAAGGTACCCTCGAAACACAAGCGCAAGGTGATTGAGGAGCTGGATGAGATGCAGGCCGACTTTGATATTCCCAGGATAGAACAAACCGAGTCAGATTCGGATTCCGAGGAGATTTCGTCTGAACAAGCGCATGAGATTCATGATCAGCATATCGAAAATATGAAGGAGTATCTTTGGGGACGGACAATGAGTTTTGTGCGGCAGGCGTTCCAATTGTCGCGCCTCTATATTGACTTGCGTCATTGTACCTGTAACTGGGGTTGTTGTCGTCTTGCTACAGAAGTGCTGGATTGGGGATGGTTCCACGTCTGGATTCATGGGATGCCGGATGAGATTCATGTGAGAGGTACCTCAGGACGTGAGAAGAGACTCATTGCTCAGTTGTTCGATAAGCAGCGATTCCATGCGGGTTTGGAGATCGACCAAGTCTTTGATCAGAACAGACTTGAAGACGCTGATGACTGGAAGGCGGGCAAATTTGTATTTCAAAAAGTTCATCAGACACTCGTACGCCTAGCGTACGACCGAGGCAAAGAAAGATATTCCTGAAATCGCATCAATGATCTTGAATAATAGTCTAGCAGTCAATCCTCAGTAGATACAATGATAAACAATTACATATACTGCAGAAGAAGAAGTGGATATGTGCACTTGCAAACCATGTCAGGATGTTGACATACATGGAAATCAGTGAAATCATGAGTTATCCACAGTAAATTGCAGTGAAACCTCCCATTTTTGACCACCAGTGCCATATCCCCCGCCCAGTCGATTCTTGATCAAGCTGGAGATGCGTTCACGTAGACGTACCAGGTTCTCCTCGGAACCAGATACCCGAAGTTTCAGATTTGCCATACACAACCCATAGTGAACTTGCCAGAACCTCGCATCATCAATCCCAAAAACAGACGGATCTGCTTCAATATCCTTGATCACATCCGAGACCCCTGGACCCGAATAGGACATGAGAAGCATGGATCCCAGGGTTTTAACAAGGCGAACGCCGAGCACACACATGGAGATAGAAATAGTGACGGACAGAAGAACGTCAAGCCATTTGTAAAGCTTGATGGACACCAGAGGGAGAAGCAACAGCAGTGTCGAGCATGAAAGGGTGAGGAAATGAGATGGATTGCTAAGAACCGACGGCAGAGACTCAATGTATGCAAAGCGCATGGCCTTGCCTATCCGTGCATGGTTCTTCAAGCCAATTGCAGATATCAGGGTGGATGAGATGGCAAGTACAGCAGTGATGTCTACACTGCCAACAGAGACACGCTCATGAGGATGGGTATGGTGTGGCTCATGGTTGTCGCTCGACTCAAGAAAGTGCTGAAGGTTGTGGGAGATGAGGTCCATGCCCATAAACAGTAGCAGCACGCACATTGCGAACCCAGCAAGTACCTCTGCTCGTTCCATCCCGAATGGATGGCGAATGGAGGATCGTTTCCACACCTCGAAGTTACTCAATACATCCACAGCTACGCAGAGCAACGCCCCAAGAGAGTCAAACAGAATCAAATGAGACAGCGCTGTCATAGCCAAGGATCCATGTGCGCTCCAGAGCGTGTATGCGGCAACGAACATATGGCAGACACTCCACCAGAACCGCGTCTTCTGGTCTTTCGACATGCTAGAACGGCATTCTTTGAGCGTAGGAATAGGTAGCGAATTCGGAAGAACCAAAGGAGCTCGTGGAGGAGGTTCGAGGAATATTTGATGCGATATACTACTATGTTTATACTTGTGTCCACGTCGCTGGCCAATGTTCTACAGAAATTCCGCGCAAGACAATTAGCGTTCCAATACAAGGACAACGAGCCATAAAGTGCAGTTAAAGCATGCACTTACAGATTTCATTACCGGGCCCTTCGCCATAGTTGTAGTCTGAAAATTGAATGGCCCAGCAGAGCCATTGTCGCTTGCACCACTCTGTACAGAGCCATCTGTTGGACTTAGTTTAAAGGATGACCTGGTAGGACTCAAACGGTCCCGATCTTCCACGTTCGATCCATTCTGAGAGAAATGATCGACCATCGGCGACAACGTATCTTTATCGTAGGTTGCAAACCCCCTTTGGGGCTGGCCGTCAGTCACGCTCGTGGGATCATCCGACGGTGGAGTTGGCGTGCGCGGCGGGCGAGGAATGGGGAGGTTCGATGCCATAGCATCTAGTAGAAGAATGTCGACGCCTGCGCCAACAATGTACGACGAGATCTAGTCTGGTTGGTAGAGTAGATTGCCTGGACACGAAGACCGGAAGGGATGTTTTAAGACAATGCCGATAGGAGGTTGCTCCAACTCCCAAAGCACACGCACTCTTCCCGACCGATGGTTATCAGGGGAGAGCGGGTAAAGGCGGGGGACTGCGGCGGCGGCCTGAGGCCTCGACTCACTCATCGCATCATTGACTCTCGCCTCCACCGGCGTCCGGCATCTCTTGCCATTGATTACAGCTTTAAATCATCATCATCTACTCGACAGGCCTTTTTGCCTGGCCATTACGACGGTCCTGTATAAATGGAATCTCCGTCGTAAACTAGCGATGCGATCAACATAGGTCGTACTCAAAAGGAGATTTGAACGGAATCTCCGATGCCTGCATCGCTTCGTGGCATCTATGGATAACCGCGGTTCCTTCTTTTTCCTGCTGATCGTTTTTTACCTTCTTCTCAGCTCGCAGTCTCGTCCGCCGTTGCTTGACCAGGATCGAGAGCGTCAGCGGGAAGTAGCAAGGGAACGAGATGCGCTTCGTTTGTTGAATGAATCCAAATATGGGGACTTCGACCCGCCGTGTGATAAATGGCTTCCTTTTTCGGGAACCAGGAAGAACGACAGTTATGCTTGGGGTATACTCCCGGAAGCTCAGGGTAGAGCTCGTTACCAGTTACGATCCGCCATTTCAAACGCTGGGCTGGAACCTCCCAGGTCTCTAGAAGACCCCGACGCTTTACCTTCCCTGAATCTGACTCAGTTGTTACTCCCGGTCTATCGCAATGCGACAGGGAAATTGCGTGGAGATTGGGTTCGCCGCAAGTTGAACAAAGAGTCTCCGAAACTCAACACTACGGCTATCGCTTTGGAGCATGGGTATTTCACCCACGAATTCGGATTGAACATCACCGGTAGCAGTGGAACTTTCTACTTGGATCTCAAGGAAGGCGGGGGCGAAGAGCTTCGGGTAGATAGCGGCCAAGTTCGAGAGA